AACTTAAGGAAATAACATTCCCAATACTAGATGAGCCATAAGCAGCAAGCATATTTCAAGAACAATCGGATGGCCTAAACAACAGCTTAACCATTAGCTTCTTGCTGTTGCAAGTTTAACCAAGTACCAGCACTTGCAGTAACAACCAATAGCTTAAAGCAACAAGCAAGTCTAGCGACAAATATGATACTGAACACTAGATAAGCCGTAACAAGCAAGCAAAATCCCAATACCCTAATAGCTTTAAAGCAAAGCAAAGCAAATAGCATAGACTGGGGCAGCATGCCCTTTAAGAAGAGAAGCATTGAAGGGGTGCTCTTCTTTAATAAGCAGCTGAGAAGAGCAGCATGCCTCTTTAATGCAGTACAGCATATGGTCGATACCCGAAGTTTAGGCAACAGCATGTTGCCCTATCCAGATGATCGTTAGCATTAATAACACCTTTGGTAGCAAAATCTACATACTGCAAGTTAAGTATCAAGCACATTACGATACACTGTATAGCTTTAAGCAACAGCATATCATGGACTTAAACACAGCTTGATGGAAATAATCATACATATATGTGTTTAATGAAACAGCAATACTAGATGAGCCTTAAGCGGCAAGTCTGTTTCATATCAGACGGTCTTAAACAGATTTAAAAACAAGCCTCAGCTGTGGCAAGTTTAACTGGGTAGGGTTAATGTTACCAGTGTGTCAAAATACAACCAATACACCAGCCTAAAGCAACAGCGTGCCTAGCAAACCAACATGTTACTGAACAACAAGCAATATTTGACAATAGCATATTTGCCAACATAGCATTAAACAATGAGAATGAAATAAGAAATTTAGCAGGAAATGTTGCTTAATATATTTATGGGGGAAGCATCACCCCAAGCTCAGCAAGTGAGGAACCAGAGGCTCACACAGCTAATGAAACACCAACCTTAGAAATAAACAACCGTAACATTGAGATTGTGCAGCGACTGAATACAGCAACCCCAGTTGAAACGTATACACGAGAATGCTTGTTTCATTTAAACTTGTTCTCATGGCCTTAACTATCGGCGTGTCCTCAGAGCGATTAAGTTACATGATCTAGACTACGTGTAGTCCAGCTGTATGACACAGATGCGTAAATGCTGCTGCAAATATGCTTAATATTTCGCTCCTGCAAACGATGCAAAACTGATAACATCTTTTTTTTTTAAATTTTATTAGCAGACCAGGTAATATACACAGCGATATGGATTAAAACAGCATTCACTTATCTTAGACGTGGATTTCAGATGTTCTGAAACACGCTGCAACAGTTTGATTTGCTCCCGAGCAAGCTGAAAAGCTGCTGAATAATACGGAATAGAGCTTATATAGGAATGCCGCGATAGGTGTCATATAAAAAAATAAAAAAATAAAAGTAATGTTATTTTCAATTAATTGTACAACCATTTCTAGGCAACATTTTATAAATTAGGCCCCTGATCTCAACTTCTCTAATCTAAATTCAACCTCTGGTAAACAGTTGTAAGACTGGAAGAACCTCAGACACATTGAGCTCTCGAGATACAGACAATATAAACACAGTTTACAGGCATCTGTTTCCACATCTCACAGAGAGATAATGCGGGAAAGCTTCTATCTCACCTACAGTATACGTTCCTTTTTCCCCATTTCCTTCCCCACCCATCCTTCCATTCACTGTGATATTCACAGTCATGTTTGGTATCATTTAAAATGTCTCAGGGTGCTTTCACAGTTCTCTGCACTTTTATATATTAACGTTTGAAACGTTCGTTTTGTTTACAAAGCTTCGATCTGTACATAACGGCACTTACATCTGTCTTACGAATGTTCTGCAAATGCTCTAAAGAACGCTGAAGGCGAACAGAAATGAGATATTCAGCTCTCTGTTTGCAGCGCGTCAGTCACGCTCCTCAGGAAAGTGAGTGAAACACACACACAAACACATTTGTATCAAATAATACGTCATTAATAGCGGTTCACTTCCGCGATTTGGTACGATTGCGTTCACATCAGCAGCGAACCGTACCCCAGACCACCCTTTTTAAGCGGACTCGGGTATGGTTCACGGGTGCGCACCCGAGTTCGGAAGACAACGTTCACATCATCCAAACGAACCGAACTCTGACGTCAATCGAACCCGGGTGCGCACCAAAAGTGCTAGTGTGAAAGCACCCTTAGGCCCAATCCCAATTCTACCCCTTAGCCCTTCCATTTTTCGGGACCACACTTCAAACGAAGGGGTATGAATTATCTCAGCATAAACCGGCTACAGCGGCAACATGGCTGAGCGAGCGAACAAAAAGACACATAAATGTAAGCATTTTTGGGCATTAATAAAGATTTTAACGAAAAGTAATCATTTGTTTTGATGTTACTTTCAATCGTGAGTTTATATTTACGGTCATGTTACTCAAAGAAATGTTTGCAAAAAATCACTAAAGTTTGCTAACGTCATATCATTACAGACTGCACGATAGTGCCTCAACATATTTTCATGTCTGATCAGGGCGATAACCACCATAGACATTGAGGGGGGCTAGTCCCCCCAATAATTATAAATCGCTAAACCCTTTTCTCAAATATTGCCAATTCGAGAGCGAGAGAGAGAGACAGAAAGAGAGAGAGATTTTGTTTCTCTTTTTAGAGTGAGTTTACTTCAAAAACAGCGATTTTATCCACTTGTTGCTGGAAAATATAATGTAGCAATTCTGTATTTAAACTGTTATTAATAAAAGTCGTGGGGCAGCGTTGACAAGTATCTTTGCTCCTGGATGTGTGAGCTGCGTGATCTCTGATATGTGTGTGTGTGTGTGTGTGTCAGTAAGCAGCGCATTAATATAGAACGATAATTAAAGGCTCTAATTCACACCAGCATAGGTGTGTGTATTGACGTATGATGACGTCTGACGGCATAGTAGTGGTGTCCCAATTCTTAGCGGAATATTTTCATCCCTACCCCTTGACACTCTGTTTCAAGGGACAAGGAGAAGGGGTATAAAATAGAATTGGGATTGGGCCTTTTTTAATAAAGATCCTAAGAGTTTAGAGATGGTTTGCTTATTGTAGAGGGTGTGTCCTTTCCCAGCATCTTTCATGCAAATTACCATCTGTCCCTAAAGGGTGTAAACTCTCCATGACAGGACATAATAAATGCAAATTCCAATTGTTAGTTCCTTTCTCTATTTGGAGGATGTTTGTCTTGGTTTGAGTACTTAAGGAAATGTTGCAAGAAGATCAGGGCGCTTTTGTAGCCAGATGAGCCCGTAGTGTTGAGTGTGTCCATACACTCCATAATATGTATCTTTCTGAGGTCAGGTATGCCTATTTTACTCTTTATCTTTGATAATTTGATGTATTGAATTGATTGATATCTCTGAACTGACTATATAATTGGCATAATACATGTTTACCTGACTAATAATAAATTGTTACATTTGAATTGATTCTGTTCACTCTGAAATTATTGACATTAGCAGATCACATTGTGTCCTTTTTAAAACATATCTGTGTCAGGTTAGTAACGAACTAAAGTCCAGTTGAGATGGAGCATTGGGCATACCAACTGTGATTTTAGTGATCCGGCTAACATTTGGAATTAGTTCAAGTGTACGTAGCGAATCAGCTCAAAGGGGAAATAGGAGCCCTACTGGGACTTTCAGATTGCATCAAGCCTTTCTTTCAGACAGACGAAACTTGCAAGTATCCAAACTTAGTCTTATTAAGAACTAAGAATCTGATTTTTCCCTCAGGTGTAAATCTGCTGAATATGCAAATGGTTCCATAATTTCATTCCTTATTTCTCTTCTCTGTACTGAGTTAAGCTTTAACCCTTTCCTATACCAACTGTATGCGTGTGTGTGTGTGTGTATGTTAGACCAGTTTATGTGTTTATGTAGTATGTTAAACTACTTTAAGTGTTTATGTAGTTAATAAAACCTTACTTGTATCACACTTGACGTGGTTCATTGTTTGCTCATAACTGGAGTCACTTAATCATGCAGATTTATGCTACAAGCTTTTGTACCAGGAAATTAACTAGGAAATTAACGTTCTTAGAATTGACAAGACAGTTGACCCTGAGAGGTCAGCTAAATATCTACAGCGGATCTAAAAAATTAATCATAACTAGGTATAATTTATTATGAATAATTCATATTTCCCATGTTTGATTCGTTACACCAGTTTGAGTTTTAGACCTTGACATGTGCCTTTTATCCACAACTTGGCTGGCTTGTACGTACACCAAAAATTGCTCTGTATTTTCATATTTCCCACGGCAGTTATTTTAGGCCACAAACAATAAGAGTGCCTACCATTTTAAAGACCATTTAGCTTTTCATGTCCATTATTTTTGTGGTTGGTTCACATAATGCCACAAAATTCAGCAAGTTTTAAACCATTCTGATGAAGTAAATTGGAAATAAATGAAAACAAAAATGAAAAAGGTAAACTTTATTAAGGCTAAACAAGTTTTATGACAAGCAGTCTTATGAGCATGAATGCTGAAACAAACAAGAATCAACTAAACTTGATTGTATTCAAATAAACTTGGGAGACAATTTTAAAGATGGAACAGCAGAATAAAGCTAAAAATTAAATTGAACACAATTATGCTACTAAGTAGGTATTGTAAACATCACTAAAATGTATTGAGATTAAAATCACTAATGTGATGAGTGGGCAAAAATAAGTACGATGCTGGCAATATGGAAATTATCTTCCACTGGGCAGCTGAGACTGGTGGTTCTTCGGTTAACAAACATCTTCAGACAGACTCCTCTGAAGGATTAGTCACACTACAAACAAGATTTTTGTCATACTGCTGGGGCAAATCATTTAAACAGCTTTGGACTTGTCATGAAAATGTAAAAACATTTTCAAAATTTTTAACAAGTTTTATTACTTGTTTTTCAGCACTGATAAGATATTCTCTCCTGATCTGTCCTTTGCTGTCTCAGCATCATCTTCAGGGTTGAATTCTCCATTCAAAATCTTGGTATCTGTAAACATGCAAAGAAAGTCATTTTCATATACATACTTTGGAATTATGTGATCAAGGACATGTATTAGAAGCTCTTTGGCTGAACAAAAATTATACTGTAAATTTAGCAGCATAAATGTATATATTTTTATCCAAAGAAACTTTCAAAGAAAGATATAATTGTTTGTATAGTGTGTTAGTTGGGTCTTCTGACCTTGCATCATTATTTATTTACCATTATTATTTCATTATTATTTTACATGAAATTCCATACATCCATTTTCCGGCTTTAGTTTATTTATTTATTTTAGGTTTTAAGTAAATTTTTTAAAAAACATGGAGAAAAAGCAAAACAACGCTGATGTCTTTCACACCAAATGCAAGTGTTTCATGGTGTCAAGGTTTTTTTTTTTCCAAGGTAAATTGAAATTTCAAAAAAGGACACTTGGACACCAAACGTTATATAATTCATAAAATTACACACCAAAGCGCCCATGACAAAACAAAACATTACAGAAAAAAACTTCACATTGTATGTGTACAGTGCAAGAGCAAAGAGCTTGTTTACATTTAGACAAGTTGCAATAATGAACAGGACCAGATGGATATGCAAAAAAAAAAAAAAAAAACTCTAAACCACCTTGACCTGACTGCATATACATACTGTAGTACATAGATCCAGTCAGAATTACTAAACACAGGAACATATGCATGACAAATCAAAGCATTATCCTGAATGTGTATGGAAACAACGTAAACGTAAACTGTCTGTGCATAAATACAATGTGAGATCAGTGCATCGAGCCGAGAATCCACCTGAGAAGCGTAGTTTTCATATCATCTGGCCATACAGTGGTGGGATATTTCACAGCCCAATGTTTGAGGGCTCAAGCTCTTCAGAAACAATCACAGAATATGACACAGCTCATGCTTTAAAGTAAAATCCACTTTAGATTTCTTTAGATTAGAGCTGTTTTGATTATAGGAGGCACCTTGAAGCGCTATACTTGCTGAAAGGACCTTGTGAAGTAGGTTAGAAGGTGCTCTTTAGTTGGGTTTGAAGCAACTTTTGAAAAAAGGGAATCCAAGGCACTTCTTCTGGTCCGAAAGTTAAAAAGCCTTTATTCACATTCTAGCCATCTCAATATAGACATTAAAAATACCTAAAACTCTGCACACTGATGCATTTCGGCCTTCAGCCTTCCTCAGAATGTGTCAAGTATAAAACAAATGACTGGTAATATTAGTCTGTGACATTTGGAGAGACCAAAAAAGCCATCACAAATGGCATACAACCTTATTAGCCATTATTTTTTTTCATTACTGAGATGGCCAAAATGTGAATAAAGGCTTTTTAACTTTTGGACCAGAAGAAGTGCCTTAGATTCCCTTTTTCTAGCTGTTTTGAACTGATTGCTTGAATTAATTTGCTTACTGGTTCATTGGACTGAAAACTTTCAAAATGTTAAATAATTTTAATGCGTTAAAGATTTTGAATTAATCACGTGTTAACGTTGACAACCCTATTTAGGACATTAAGCCACGTTAAGTATTTTTCAAGGTAAATAATTCAGAATGTCCCCTTGAAGCAAAATTAAGTCCTGTGGTGTCGCAATCTGACCAGATGTATCTTCTCTCTAACTCATTTTCTCCACTTGGGGTCTGAAGATAGGGGTTTTTTACTTCTGCAAAGGTCACACCTCTTGAGTTTGGCTTAACCAATGATAAAAGTGTAATTTCAAGCGGGAAAATTTTCTTTGTTTGGAAGCTTACTCATTTGTTTTGTGGCCCTTTATACTTAATTTAATATAACAAGCATACAATGCATGTTATAAGGAAGTGATATATAACTCTTTCTAAATTCCTTTGGGTTGTAAAACAGTCTAAACTTGATGATTTGTCTTTGTTGACATGGTAGCCAGAGGCCTGCATCTGGGTGTTACTTGTGGCTTAAGGGTAGTTCACAGACACATTGGTTTTTCTGTTGGAATCTCTATCATCACTTTCTGTTGTTTAAACTAAACACATTTTTTTTATAAAAAAGTGCATTTACTTACGTTTTTACAGGCACTAAAACATACAATACTGATGTATTTTCAGCATCTAAACATACAAAACTGACGTATTGACGACACCTAAAAATTAATCCTTATGAATATTGAAATCGTGGCATTAATTTGATTATTATTGTTGTTTTTAGTTGTCATATCAATTACCTTGTTTTCAATTCCATTATTAAATTATTTACTCATTTACTTAATATGAAATAATATTTTGTTCTGTTCTGTGATTTCTGCTGACAGCTCGTTTCCAAGAATAGGCCTACATAATGTTAAACAAGACTACACTTTAAACTCTTAAAACAAAATACAATTTCTCCAGTCGTTTAATCTTTACTTGTCATGTAATGTTTACTTTGTTTGCCATGGGCCACAAAACACGTTTTCTCCGACATGCTGTGACTGACAATAGAACTATAAAATACACCAAAAACGCAACATTATTGCTAAATTAAACTATTTTATTCGTGCGCTGTAATCCAAATCTTCCGAATCCATATGACTGCGAGGAACAGAGCCAAATCCAAGCCTTTATTCGGTGATCTTCATCTCCATCCCGAGCAGCGAGTCCAGTGACCGTAAGCAGCAAAGCCCGCACTGACTGACGCGCTCTTTACAACTTCAAATGTTGCAGCTTCAAACGACAGGTTTTACGTCAGGATAATCGAACGCTCATTGGCTCTCGCCTGACATGCCATGTTTCTGGTGAAGTGTGTTTGAATGATGCGCGCGCGCCTTCACGAGTTGTTGGAATGGATCGGGAAAATAATCTGGATAATATTTTCAGCGATTAACAACTTAAATTCTGCTCTGCACCTCACACAAACCTACTGTATTCCGCCAGAGAGGACTGCGGCTGCAACGCATCGTCATTTGGATTAATTTGGTACATGCTTTTGACCTTTTTGCAATAAATAAATGATTGTAATTGCATTTATCTGTCTGTCATGTTTTTCTTATACTGTACAGAAATAGTTTAGGAGTGGGATTAGGGACTATAAAAATATTTTTAATGCTATATTGTAACTAAAATGGTTATTTTCCTGCATATTTCGGTAAATTGCATTTTATATCCTTTTAATATTTGCTATAAAATGGGTAACTTTATGTTTGGGGGTAGGTTAAGGGGTCTAAAAATCTAAATCGCTTATTGATAAAATGATAAAAATTAGGGATACTGGTATCGGTATCGGGCTATTATGTCACACTTCTCTAGTAAGTTTAGCAAAATTCCAGTTCCAAGGGAACGTACACGTTATATTTAAAGGGCATTAAAGTGTGCGAGACGGGAACTTATATTTATTTACAGAGGCATATTATGTCATACTTCTCTAGTAAGTTTCACAAATCCGTGAATGAATGTTCCAAAGTGAAATAAATAGGGATGCAACGATACCGATACTGAGCTCCTGTACTCATACCAAACGCCGATACCACACAGCATGGGATAAATGCCATATTCAGACAATGAAACACCGACAACAGAACAACAGAAAGCAGAATGGAATTATTAGAGATTAAGGATGTCTACGAAGTATATGTATGCAATGAATATAATGTTAAACATTCAATATTAACGCCTGTATAGCTGATGTGCGCGAGTTGATAAGCAAAGCGCACTGAGTGGATTGAGCTCGCGGCGGCGCAGATGCGTGAGCTTGTCGAGTGAATATACCTTTCTCACAGACATCACTGGAAAGTTTGTAGTTCAGTCGGATACGTCAAAAACAAGGAAGTAAAGCAATGCACAAGTTACTTAACGGTAGAGAGAGAGAGAGAGCGCGCAATTCTGTTGTGTGAACTTTGAGACACTAGGCTCGGTAAGGCAGCTAACACTAGGGGAGTGGAAAATGCAGAACAATACACGGGACTAAAACAGAAAACACGGAAAGGCTCGGTAAGGCAGCTAACACTAGGGGAGTGAAAAATGCTAGCCAGGGCAGAGCAAACGGAGCAGAAGACCTCCATGGCGGAGCAGACCTCAGGGACATGAATCCTTCCTGGGCAGAACTGAGGATCTGGATCCCTTCCAGGGCGGTACTGTGGATCAGGATAGTGCTTATGGGGTGCTGGAACTGGAGGGTGCTCTGGAGGAGCAGGCACAGCAAAGCACTTTCGAGGAGCTGGCACTGGAGTGAGTCTTGGGGCTGGAGCCAACACTGGAGCGAGCTCCGGGGCTGGAGCTGACACTGGAGATGGGGAAACAGGAGCCCTCCCTTGGCTTAACAGGGAAACAGGAGCCCTCCGGGGACTATACTCGGGAACAGGATCCCTCCGTGGGCTTAACTCGGGAACAGGAGCCCTCCCTGGGCTTAACTCAGGAACATGAGCCCTTCCTGGGCTTAACTCGGGAATAGGAGCCCTCCGTGGACTTAACTCGGGAACATGAGCCCTTCCTGGGCTGAACTCGGGAATAGGAGCCCTCCGTGGGCTTAACTCGGGAACATGAGCCCTTCGTGGGCTTAACTCTGGAACATGAGCCCTTCCTGGGCTTAACTCGGGAATAGGAGCCCTCCGTGGACTTAACTCGGGAACATGAGCCCTTCCTGGGCTGAACTCGGGAATAGGAGCCCTCCGTGGGCTTAACTCGGGAACATGAGCCCTTCGTGGGCTTAACTCTGGAACATGAGCCCTTCCTGGGCTTAACTCGGGAATAGGAGCCCTCCGTGGGCTTAACTCGGGAACAGGAGCCCTCCCTGGGCTTAACTCGGGAACATGAACCCTTCCTGGGCTTAATTCGGGAACAGGAGCCCTCCGTGGGCTTAACTCGGGAACATGAGCCCTTCCTGGGCTTAACTCGGGAACATGAGCCCTTCCTGGGCTTAACTCGGGAACAGGAGCCCTCTCTGGGCTTAACTCGGGAACAGGAGCCCTCCGTGGGCTATACTCGGGAACAGGAGTCCTCCCTGGTAGGGACTGGGACCTGGAGAAAACTGAGACACAAGAGACAGACAGAGCA